TTATAAGCAAATACACAACAAAATCAATCAAAATTTAACAAATTGAATCCAACAATATGTAAAAAAGATAATATATAATCAGGTTTATTCCAGGAATGCAAGGTTAAGATTTGAAAACAATGTAATTTACCACATTAATAAAACAAAAGAGAAAAATCATGTATCAACTCATTAAATGTAATATTTGATAAAATTCAGCATTCATTTACCATTTTTAAAACTCATTGGAAAAGTAGTAATACAAGAAAATCTCAACTCAATAAAGGTTATTTATAGCTAACAACATACTTAATAGTAAAACACTGAATACTTTCCCACTGAAATTGGAAACAAAAAAGGATGTCTATTCTTATGACCTCTACTCCACATTATATAAAAGGTCCTAGCCCAGTGCATTAATGAAATAAAACGAAATAAAAGATACAAGTATTGGATAGAAAGATGTAAAACTGTCATTATTTGCAGATGACATGATTGAACATGGACAATCCAAAAGAACCTACCAAAAACTGTTAGACAAGTTGGGTCACTGGATAGGTCAACATACTAAAATCAATTTTATTTCCCTGTACTGGTAACAAATTATTTAAAAATAGAGGGTTTTTTGTGTTTGCTTTTTGAGACAGAGTCTCACTCTGTCGCCCAGGCTGGAGTCCAGTGGCGCGATCTCGGCTCACTGCAACCTCCACCTTCCCAGTTCAAGTGATTCTCGTGCCTCAGTGTCCCAAGTAGCTGGGATTACATGCATCAGCCACCACACCTGGCTAATTTTTGTAATTTTAGTAGAGACGAGGTTTTGCCATATCGGCCAGGCTGCTCTCAAACTCCTGACCTCAAGTGATCCATCCACCTTGGCCTCCCAAAGTGCTGTGATTGATTACAAGTAAAAGCCACCACACTTAGCCAGAAAACAGGTTTTTAAAATGCTACTTAACCATCAATAAAAAGAGGTAAAATTTAATTAAATACATGCAAAATTTCTCTAAAAAGTTCAAAACATTGCTGAGAGAAATTAAAGGCCTAAAACTATGGAAAGCAATGCTCTGTACATGAATTGAAAAACTCAAAACTATGTCAACTCAATATGTTAATTCATCCAAAATTGATCTATAGATTCAATGTAATCTCAGCAAAAACATTAACAGCTTTCCTTTTTAGAAATTAATATAAAAGTTACAAGTTGAAATTAAAATGTATATGATAGGCTGGGCATGGTGGCTCATGCCTGTCATCCCAGCACTTTGAGAGGCCAAGGCGGGTGGATCACCTGAGCTCAGGAGATCAACACCATCCTGGCCAACCTGGTGAAACCCCATCTCTACTAAAAATACAAAAATTAGCCAGGCGTGGTGGTGCACACCTGTAATCCCAGCTACTAGGGAGGCTGCAGCAGAACTGCTCCACAGGGAGGTGGAGGTTGCAGTGAGCCGAGATCACACTACTGCACTCTGGCCTGGGCTACAAAGCGAGACTCTGTCTCAAAAAAATAAATAAATAAAATAAAATATATGTGGAAATACAAAGGACCTAAAATAGTTACGAAAATCTTGAAGGAGAAAAGAACAAAGTTGTACTAATTACACTGAGATACCAAGTCTTATTATAAAAGCTACACTAACCATATGGAGTGACACAAGAATAGACAAACAGACCACTCAATAGAATAAAGAGTTCAGAAACAAATCCACACACATATGGCAACCTGATTTACAGTAAAGGCTTACTGTAATTGAGTAAGGGAAGAAGAGTTCAACAAATGGTATAGATCAACTATCAATGGAAATAAATTAATCTTTACCTCTATTACACTTATGCAGAAAAACAAATTTGAGATGAATCATGGAATTTAATAAAGCTTCTAAAAGAAATATAAAAGAATATATATTGTTGGTTTAAGCACAGATTTCTTAAACAAGACAAGAAAAACCCTAACCACAAGGGAAAAGATTGATAAACTGGACTTCAGTAAGATTATTAACTTTTATTCATCAAGACACCTTTATGAGTAAAGATACAAGCCACAAACTGAAAGTAAATACTGCAAAACATCTATCCGGCAAAGGACTCATTTCCAAAATATATAAAGAATTCCTGGCCGGGCATGGTGGCTCACACCTGTAATCCCAGCACTTTGGGAGGCCGAGGCAGGCGAATCACAAGGTCAAAGGATCGAAAACATCCTGGCTAACATGGTGAAACCCCATCACTACTAAAAATACAAAAAATTAGCTGGGCATGGTAGTGGGTGCCTGTAGTCCCAGTTATTCGGGAGGCTGAGGCAGGAGAATGGCATGACCCCGGGAGGTGGAGCTTGCAGTGAGCCTAGATCACGCCACTGCACTCCAGCCTGGGTGACAGAGTGAGACTCTGTCTCAAAAAAAAAAAGATTTCCTATACATCAATAAGACAGAAAATTCAATCTTTACAAAAGGAAAAAAGACTTAGACTTCACAAAAAAAAAAAAGACAGCTAAATGGCCAATAAGAATATAAAAACATCATTAGTCATGAGGAAAATAGAAGTTAAAATTACAATGAGATATCACTACACACCCACTGGAAAGGCAAACATGAAAATAACAAACATACCAAGTAGTAGCAAAAATGTGAAATACCTGGAATGCTCATAAGTTGTTGGTGAGACTGGAATTGATATAACCACTTTGGAAGACTATCTGGCAATATGAAATGAAAACACAGGCTAAACACAGGCCCTACCTTCTAGGTATATGCCTAAGAGATATTAATACTTATCTTAACAAGACAGATGTACTGGAATGTTCATGGAAGCTTTCTTCACCAGCCACAAATATTAAAAAACCAAGTGTCCATCAAAAGGAGAATGTGTAAGTAAATTGTGGAATCTTTATGCAATGGAATAGTACTGACAATACGAAAAACAAACTCTTCTAACAACAGGGGTTAATCTTAGAAAGGTTGAAAGAAAAAAGCCAAACACAAGTGATTCCAATTTTTTTGAGGTTCAAAACCAGGTAAAACTTATCTGTGTTGACAGAAGTCAGATTACCAGTCACCTCTTTTAGGAATGGGGAGCACGTCCCCCTACCCCAGATGGAGTCTCACTTTGTCGCCCAGGCTGGAGCCCAGTGGCGTGATCTTGGCTCACTGCAACCTTCCCCTCCCGGATTGAAGCAATTCTCCTGCCTCAGTCTCCCGAGTAGCTGGGATTACAGGCGCATGCCACCACGCCCAGCTAATTTTTTGTATTTTTAGTAGAGACATGGTTTCGCCATGTTGGCCAGGCTGGTCTCGAACTCCTGACCTCATGATCTGCCCGCTTTGGCCTCCCAAAGTGCTGGGAATGCAGGCATGAGCCACTGCACCCAGCCCGGAGTACTTACTAAAAGTAAAACAGGTGAACCTTTTGGGGTGCTGGAAACATTCTATTTTTTTATTGGACAGTAGTTGCACAGGTGTAAAATATTTTAAAATTGAGCTGTTGGCTGGGCGCGGTGGTTCACGCCTGTAATCCCAGCACTTTGGGAGGTTGAGGCAGGCGGATCATGAGGTCAGGAGATCGACACCATCCTGGCTAACACAGTGAAACCCCGTCTCTACTAAAAATACAAAAAATTAGCAGGGCGTGGTGGCGGGCGTCTATAGTCCCAGCTACTCAGGAGGCTGAGGCAGGAGAATGGCGAGAACCCGGGAGATGGAGCTTGCAGTGAGCCGAGATGGCGCCACTGCACTCCAGTCTGTGCGACAGAGTGAGACTCTGTCTCAAAAAAAAAAAAACTCAGCTGTTATACTTGGGATTTGTGCTCATCAAAAAAAAAAAAAAAGAAAATGAAAATACTAAGCCACTCAACTAACCTTGGAAACAGGAAAAAGCAGCAGCCAGGAGTATTATTTCTTAGTGTTAAGTCTAGACTGACTTAATAAAAGAGTAATAAAAGAGGCTGTGGACTATACCTAAAAATTATCAATAACTATCACTGTCAGATTAAGTCTTCCCTTATCTCCTAAAAATCATTTGGTCTCTGATTCTTCTGAGCTTGCACAGATCCTCAAGCCTAACAGAATTTCTTGGCATATGTTACTAATAAATGTAATAAGTGAATTAATGAATATGTGATCTTTGAAGTTAGAGTTCTTTTGCATCAGACCAATCTCATGTTAAAAGAAACTAAAACGATTAATAAAGAAGTTTCCAATTTTACTGCCATTCTCAATGTATCTACTCAACACTCTGAGGATGCTGTGGGAAATGTCATCTTTCCTCATGATCTGAACCTGCTTTTTTTTTTTTTTTTTAATCTTTTTTTCCTCAACCCCCACCAGCCAGCCACACTTCCTGATGGCCTTCAAACCCTTCCACTGCCCAAAAAGGAGAATAAGAATGTAATATTTTCCAGGCTTATACAGAATTTTGACAACATAAATTAGCACATTCATAATGCTTGAAAATTGACTAAATAGAACAATTCTGACATGAACAATGAAATCGTCTTTCTGTCAAGGCAACTTTAAGTAATCCCATTCTAATATACCGTCACCTGGGAACAAACTATTTTTAAAAATAATGCAGGTCGGGCGTAGTGGCTCACGCCTATAATCCCAGCACTTTGGGAGACCGAGGCAGGCGGATCACCTGAGGTCAGGAGTTCGAGAGCAGCCTGGCCAACATGGTGAAACCCCGTCTCTACTAGAAATACAAAAATTAGCCAGGCGTGGTGGTGCGCACATGTAATCCCAGCTCTTAGGGAGGCTACGGCAGGAGAACTGCCTGAGCCCCAGAGGTGGAGGTTGCAGAGAGCCGAGATCACGCGGCTGCACTCCAGTCTGGGCGACAGAGCAAGACTCCATCTCAAAAAAAAAAGAAAATAATGTAAAATAAGCCCCCCTTGTTTCAGGGTAGTTCAAAATACATCAGTAGAAAAGTTTCGTTTTTATAGCACAAAGTCAAGGCGTAGGATACAACAGATTACCGTCTAAACAAGTTGAAAACTGTTTCCAGTTCATGACAGCTACATAGCTTACCTGTTCCAGCACATCCAACTTTAACTCGAGCTTGCTAAGTACGACGTCTCCACCCCATAGTGAAAGCTGTAGATCCGACGGCTTTAAGTTCTTGATGTAGCGATTCACATAGCTCATTAAAATTGGAGTTACGTATGACTCCAGCATCTTTTAAGGTAAGGAGTCAAAGTCGGAAGCTGAAAGGAGTAGACAGAAACGTTGTAAGTCGGCGGTATAGTGAAGGAAAGAGCGTTAGTTATCTCAGGCCAAAAGCAGTAAGTCCCCACCAAGGCGGCCGTTCGCCTCCTCTTAGAAGCAGAGAAAACTCAAGAGGACTCCCAGCTCCAGCTGCGACTTCCTCACAAGTACAACACCCCTTGCCAAGCGAAGTAAGGGAGGAAGATGTAGTGACCAGAAGAGAGCGGGTCCCTCAGAGTGGAAGAATGAAGTGAGGCGGACTCCCCTTCGGCCGCAGTAGCCCTTCACCAACCCAGTCACTCCGCGAGGCCCTCGCTTCCCGGAACCCAGCCGGATCTGCCACCATAGAACGAAAGCTAGAAGGCCCCCCCTCCCGCTCCCGCTCCCGCTCCCGCTCCCCAGCACTCCACTCTCCGCTCACACGCCAGAGTATCGCCGCGTCCCCTCCACCTCCAGGTCCCTGGCACCCACCCCCGGCGGCAGCGTTGCTCCTGTACCGCGCCACTTCCGGGTGTGCCCTACTTGGTGTTCAAAACAAAGTGTCCCTCCACGGCCGCCACTCTACGCAGCCGGACCGGATTTCTCAGGCTGGAGAAGCTACTCTGCGCGTCTTCGTGGAGAAGAACTGTTGCGTTCGGCTAGCCAGGGTCCCAGCTGCGACCCTGCTAGTTAGTATAAAGATCTAGGAGGTGTCTGAGGGGGCGGAGGGAACCGTAAAGGGGAAACACCCGAGATCCGGAAGTAGTGCTCCGCGGAGAGGGTGGCTGCGGGTCCTGGGGCCGCTGCGCGGTCGGCGGTTCCCGAGGTGGAGGTCCGTCCTGGGTGGGGAGGCACGGAGGGTCGCTGGTTGGATGCGGAGGAAGAAACCACACCTAGCACTTAAAGCCCTGAAAAAAACAGAGGTGGTTGTCTTTCTTGAGAAATGGGAGGACTGGGAAGAGGAACTAGGTTGGGTTCACTGGGGAGGGCAGAAGCAATAGGCCGCTGGTAGGAGGAGCGAAGTAAGTGACAGATTTCAACTGAGTTCCGAGGTTTATTTGCTGGAAGGAGGGTGGATGTGGGAAGATAAATGAAGGGATTAGGACGTACACTGTTGGAGGACGCGTTTTGGCCAGACGTATAGACAAGCTCTCGCATTGTTACTTTCACAAAACAATGGTGAAGTACTCCCTAATTTGCTGATGAGGGGCGGGGGAGGGATGGTCAAAATATTGCGGGGAACCATAGGATTGCAGTCTGACGTGAGATTTAGGGAAGCTGCGGCAATAACCAAAATGAAGACGGAATTGAGAGTTCTAGAGACAAAGTGAATATAACTGATAAGTAATGAATTCAGAGTTCTAAGGGTCGGTGTTGGTTTTATTAGGCTGTAATGAGTGTATAAAATATTGCCCTTCCGTATAATAGCTTGCAAGCTAACAAAGTCAAGAAACTCAAACATTAACTCGGAAAATATATACTGGGCTTAAAGGAATCGCATAGGACATGCTGCCCAAGTTTTGCCCAGCTTGTCTTATTTTTGGTTAGCGCTGAAAAAAACCCCTACCACTGCATTTTGAAACTAGACTCCTGGTCAGGCGCGGTGATGCACACCTGTAATCCCGGCACTTTGGGAGGCCAAGGCCTCCAAATTGCTTGAGACCAGTCTGGCCAACATGGAAAAAACCCGTCTCTACAAAAATATTAGTAATACAAAAATAAGCTGAGCACGGTGCCTGTACTGTAGTCCCTGCTACTAAGGAGGCGGAGGTGGGAGGATCACTTGAGCCCCAGAGGTGGAAGCTGCAGTGAGCCGTGATCACACCACTGCACTCCAGCCTGGGCGACAGAGTGAGACTGTCGAAAAACAAAACAAAAAAAGAGAAACTAGACTTTTTTTAAAAAGTTATTAAATAACCACCCATGCCTAAAGCTCTTTCCTGGAATTCAAAATTACCATTTCTTGAAAGAGCTTCAGTAACTGCAACAGAAAAGAGGCCTGAGGATGCCAAGGTGTTTAGATTTATTTTGTTATTGAAAATAAGGAAATACGTTTCCCCAAAAGAGGCAGCAGCTAATTGCCAATTCCTTCACAAGAACGCTGTTCCTTCACAAGAACGCTGTTCCTTCACAAGAACGCCTTAATAACTCAAATATTTGAGTATTATCAAAACTTGCCAAATTATACAAATGAATTAATTTCTTTTTTAGTTATCTGCTTCATCTGAAACACAGGTCAAAGCCATGACTTAGAGGTTTTAACATAAAGAAAATGGTTCCACTAATTGTATAGAACCTCTCAGCAGTCTACAACAGTAGCTCCACGTCTTGTCATTTTTCTAGAGAAAAAGGGCCTAGTTTTATGGTGATCTATTAAATAAAAACACTATATTAAGATAAATTGGCCAAATATAGGAGTAGAAATGTGGCTAAGACATTTGAACAAATGACATATGGAATGCTAAACATTTTTTGTTCTCATATGCCATTTTTCTCCTGGAACCAACAAAAAATGGACAAATTACTGGCTTGGGAAAATTATCTGGGCACTGTGTTTTGGTTTAAGTTTCAAAAAATTTGTAGTTTTCAACCTGTATTCCACTGTGCCCTTTACCATAAGCAGTTAAGATAAATTTAATTCCTTTTCACTAATAGTTTCATTGCTCATTTTTTTAAATGTCAAATGGCAAGTCTTTTCCAAATCTATTATGTCTTTGTATTATAAGATTTTTCTTCCCCCCACAAATATTGTTTAAGTGTTCTCAAGACTTTGAGGCAGATTGGTTCTGTAGAGACAGGCCTTGTTCTTGATCTTAACAGGAAACCTTCAAGTTCCTCACCATTAAGTATGTTGTTAGCTGTAGAGTTTTTGTAGATGTTCTTTAGCAAACTAAAGCTTGCTGAGAGTTATTATCATAACATAGGTGTTAGATTTTGTCAAATGCTTTTTCTGCATCTATTGATATGAACATGTGATTTTTCTTCATTAGCCTGTTAATGTGATTGATCACAATAATTGATTGTTAAATATTTAACCGGCCTTGCATACTTGGGATAAGTCCCACTTGGTCAAGGCTTGTACTTCCTCTTATACATTGTTGGATTTAATCTGCTGGTATTTTGTTGAAGATTTTTGCATCTATGTTCATGAGAAATATTGGTTTGGTTTTCTTATAATGTCTTTATCTGATTTTGGTATTATAGTAAGGATGGGCTCATGAAGAAGTTAGGAAGTATTCCTTTGCTTCTATTTTCTGGAAGAGATTATAGAGAATTGGTATAATTTCCTCCTTAAATGTTTGGTATTACTCACCAGCAAACCCATCTAAGCATAGTGTTTTCCACTTCAGGTTATTAACCATTGTTTCTTCATTTCTGTTTTTAATTTTCTTATTTATTTCCATCTCCCTGCTTACATTTTCTAGCTGCAAGATTAAAAGATTGAAAAAGGTAGAGAAAGGCTTGTTTTTTTGTTTAGTTTTCTATTATGTGTGGTATATATATGGGATCTTCAATTACAGGGACCTGTATCCCTAACACCTCGCATATTATGTGGTACCTAATAGGTTATGACAGTGATTTACTTTAACAATTATTCAGGAAATCTGCTTACCTTTTCCTTGTGTACACAGAGCTGAATTATTATTCAGGCTGTCTAACAGCCAGGTGTTGTCAAGTAACTGAGTTCTGACCACCTGAATGTGGATAGAAGTGATGTAGGCACAGGCCTGGCTCATAAAAGCCTCCCACATGACAGCCTTAGTCTTTCTCCATCACCAAGCAGGATAAAAATGTGCAGAGGACTCCAAGGTCCAAGGAGAGGTTAAGGACAAAAACTAGGAGATTGAGTCTATGAGTCATTGCCTAGAGAAACAACTGCTGATAAGTGACATCCATTAGGATTTTCCACGATTGAGAAATGAACTACTGTTAAACTTACTGAGATTTGGAGGGTTATCTGTCTCAGCAGGAAGTATTATTTTAAACAATTCATATACTAGACATAAGCTGACCTTAATTCAACTTTGTTATTTCAGAAACGTTAAAATTGTAACAACTAAAGTCTTCTGACTTTACTTCTCCCCTTTTGAGAAGGAAAAAAGAAAAACCATTAATTACTACAATCAATAGAACAACAAAGTTTTCCGGATTTAAAGTCATACACATTAAGCAGCTGTACAGTACGCTTCTGACTGGCTTCCTAAAGAGTTACAGCAGGTAAACATTCTTAATATACCCTCAGAGTTAAGTGTAAACAAATATCCAAGTCACGTAGATATTATCTCACTGAAAATTAAGCACAGTATAGTTCATAAGTCCAGTTGGCAAGAAACTAATAATCATGATTGGCTCAAGTTATTTATGTATGTTAGTTTAATATTCTGAATTTACTCATTAACTCAGACATTCTTTGAATGCCCACTATGTGTTATACACCATACCAGTCACTTGGGCATGCCCACATTGAAGGAGCTCAGTTTCATTGGAATCACAGATATAAATGACCTATTAAAATATCATATGATTAACTGGATTATGTAAAAAGTGCTGTGGGACACTGTAAAAAATCATTTAGAACCATGTGAGAAAATCAGGCAAGGTTTAAGAGAGGAGTTACCAGTTACAGATAACAATGTATTTTTTTCCCACTGACCTAAGCCTTTCAAGCAAAATCAGAAAACTGTAATTTTCACTAAAATAAATCATCAATGGAATGACCTAGTTTAAGACCCTTTTGGAAGACAGAAAGAGTCCTAGAAATCTCTACTACATCAAAACAAATCTGAGGGATAGACAAACATACCAATTTAACTGAATAAAGAGCCCAAAAAGTAACCCCTTCAAACATGGCATCTTTATATATGACAGAGCAGCATTACAAATCAATGGCAAAGAGTGCATATTTCAATAATTGATACTAGGAACAATTACTACCCGTATGGAGAAAGATTAAAATTAGATTCCTATCTCAGATGTAGGAAAGAAGTCCAAGTTTTATGAGGCCAAAAACTTATAATTTGGGGATTCCTAAGGAAATTCCAAAATAAATTACTTTTGAAAATTTTATAAAAACACAACCCATGTGAACATTACTTGGGCTTCTCCCAGAGCCTTGGAAAGAGCTTATACAAGTGATGGTAGAGTAAATCTACCTCTGTTCACAAAAAACACAAATATAAACTCAAAATGGATTAAAAATTCAATATGTTTTTTCAATTTTTAGAGAAATTATAGGACAAAAATTGTTATGCCTCAGAGAGGAAGGATTTCTTAAGTAAGGTAAGGCACAAAGATATAAAAAGGACAAACTTTCAAGGAAAAGCTTAGTAAGTTTATACATTAAAATTAAAAAAGCTTGTTCATCAAAGAACATGTCAAAATACAAGCCACAAGCTGGATAAAGATGATGAAATGTTCATTATTCAACAGAGAAAAAGAACTCATTTTATAATAAACTACAAATTAATGAACAAATCCAATAGAAAACTGATCAATTCATAGAAGAGGAAACCCAAAAGTATAA